CTGGGTGGCAGGGGGTGGCTGGCTCATGCCATGCCAGGTGCAGGGTCTGCTGGCTGGGTGCTGGCAGGCTTGCACCTGGTACGGGCACAGTAGCCAGACCGTGACCCTTTAAGGGCTCCGGGGCCAGGAGGGGGGGTAAACGAGTTTCCCTGGTTGTGCCCAGAGTGGCCACCAGGGCAAGCTGGGAAGGGCCAGCCTCCCACTAGTTCGAATTAAGTGGCTACACAGCCCTTAATTCGAACTAGTTAATTCGAACTAGGCGTTAGTCCTCATGGAATGAGGTTTACCTAGTTCGAATTAAGCGCTCTGCTAGTTCCAATTAAATTCAAATTAGTGGTTTTATGGGTAGCTGCCATTGAAGTCAATTCGAACTAACGGCTGTTAGTTGGAATTAACTATGTAGTGTAGACATACCCTAGCAGAGTAGGTCTTGCTGGAGGGGGAGTGACGCTATGCATGTAAGAGTCAAATATATAAACATATGAAATGAATCAGACTGTCCCAGAGCCTCTCTCTGCACAGAAATTCTGTGTGTGAATTATAAGACTATAGCCATCAGAATATACTACTGACCAAGTTGTTGATGGTGATTGTTAGGTGATCAGAGAGCTTAGAGAGGTTATACAAACAGAAAATTCATTCCAAAAAAGTCTATTGTTTGAGATGGGAGAATCAGAACAGCACACAGAACTCAAGGTGCAGTTGTAGTGTGGATGTATACAATGGTGTTATGAAACTTACTGTCAGGTTACCTATACCTATTTCCTTCCCTCCTTTTTGAACCCTATTTCCTAATGCCAACCCATCAGAAAAGAAGGAGCTGTGTGTGTGCAGTCACCCCAATTCAGAAATAGCTAAGATCCAGGTCTCTGTGGGTAACTCCAGGGTGGTGCATCCCACAGGCCTGTTGGAAATCATTAGGAAAAGACAGAAAATAGCATTTGCCTTTATATAACTCCATGGTTTGAATGCTGAGTGCAGATGTGGTCACCTCATTTCAAAAACAATAGTGTGGCATTGGAAAAGGTTCAGAAAAGGGATGCAAGACTGAGTAGGGGTTTGGAACGGCTGCCATAGGAGGAGAGATTTAAAAGACCGGGACTTTTCATCTTGGAAAGGAGACACATAAGAGAGGCTGTGCTGGTCTATAAAATCATGTTATTTACTCAATTTCAGGACACAAGAAATAGAGGTCACCAAGTGAAATGAATACACAGCTGGTTTAAAACATCATGCAGCACATAGTCAACCTGTGGAACTCCTTGCCAGAGGATGTTGTGAAGGCCAAGATTATAAATGGGTCAAAATAGAACTAGATAAGTTCATGAAGGCTAGGACCATCAGTGGCAATTAGCCAGGATGGTTAGAGATGATGTCTGTAATTTCTTTTTGCCAGATGCTGGGAGATGACAACAGGGGATATGGCACGTGATGGTTCCCTGTTGTGTTCCCTCCCTCTGGGGCACCTGGCACTGGCCACTGTCAGCAGACAGGACACTGGGTTCGATGGACCTTTGGTTTGGCCCCTTACGGCTGTTGTGTTTTTTACAAGAAAAAATAGTTGGGGAGAAAGGAAATACCCTGATCAGATCTGCTTGTGCTACTCCAGTCTCAGTCTTTTTAGTTCCGGGGAGAACGACTTCACTCCCCATTATTTCCTGTGTTGCGGATGTTTGTGAGCTTCTCACTGGCACGAATGCACTTCCTGTAAAAGTTGGGGAGGAGCGTTGGCTTTTCTGCCCTCTGCCCTTTGCTGTCAGTCCCACTTCCCCTCCTTGCTCCCCATCCTCCCAGCCACACACCAAACCCATTGTATGTTTTCCCTTCTCACGGGAGCTTGTGAGAGACCGAAATTGAAACTAAGAAGCCCTAAAATGAGCATGTTCACAGCTTAGCTGCCCAGAGGGGACATGCAGCCGTGAGAGACAGACAGACACGGGCGGGAGCGCAAACTCACGGCCACTCTGAGCTCAGACGGCCGCACAGAGGTATGTGACGCTCTTTACATGTTTGTTTTAAAATGTGGCTGCGAGTCTGGAAGGGAAGTTGGTGGGACTGATTAGCAGCATGGGAAATGCTCGGGGTGCACAGGGAGTAAGTACATGTCAGGTGCCCATGTTGCTTTCGTTAAGTGTCTGAAATCAGACAGTGTGTGGATGTGGGGGGCATGGGAAAGCAAGCCAGCAACAATGGTTGGGGTGTTGCTGGGGATGGAGTGCTCTCCAGGTACAGGTCAGGGCTGCGGCTGGGTCTGTGTCTGTCACCCTGGGATTCCAGGACAGTCTGTGATCTGATCACACGGCTACATGTCTGAGGCGCTTTTGGTTCAGAATAGCAGCAGGCTGGTCCGAGCCATTTGCAAGGCCTCGGGGATGTTCCAGTTCAAATGCTTCTTCCTGGGGGTGCTACCGAGGAGGCTCAGGCTGACAGGCTGCTGGGGGGGTCCTGGGCTGTGGTGTGCTCTGGCGGACAGGGGCTTTAGCCCAGTGGTTTTCTCATTCTGGCATTTTTTAGAAATGTCTTGTGTTTTCTTAAACGTTGTGTGTGAGAGATGGCGTGATGGACACCTCTCCGTTCAGAATAGTATGGACGGCCACGTGTGTGCAGCGTTCGACTGCACATTGTTCTGCTGGGCCTTTCCGTTCAATGGATGGAATGGTGCAGTTGGTCTGAGGCAGGGTGTGCTCAGACCACTTTCTTCTTCAGCCTCTGGAGCAGAGAAGATTGTTTACTCTCATCATTAACACAATTTAGCAAATGTACAGTGTACGCAACAACCTTTTTACCCATCTCAGTGTGGTCTTTGCTAAATTGTAGTTATTCTCTGTTATTAACCCCTTGCTGTTTGCCTACACCCAATTCTTTAAGTATTACGGCACCTTCGCCAACTTTCTATGGATTTAAATATTATTGCTTGACTATTTTAAAATTTATATTTCTCTTTACTAGTACACATGGAACACCTATCACAAGAAGTATTGACATGTGTTATTCTGTGGGTAGGATGGTCTCATGTAAAGATTTTATAACATGAGTTTGGAATGGCTGAATTACTTATGTCCTGTATTACTGAAACACGTTTTAGAAATGTTTAGAGAGTTTTTTAACTCATGGAACTCCATGGAAGCAAAATAGCCAAGTTATTGTTATCTACTTGTATTTGAAACACTCCCGGAAAATGTAAGCACTGAGCATTGAAAGTGTCTTTGGCACCCAAACATGTAGCCCCATAAACTGACCTGTTGCTTTGAGAATTGTGGCCCATGACGTAAGAGCACAGGCTCCCAGAGACTTTTTTACCTTGACCTCTCAGCCATATGGATGATTTTGAAATCACACACACACACACATGCACACGCACACACAAAAACTTTTGCATGTGTTTTGTTTCTACAGCAGCTCTGAAAAAGAGGCCTCCAATCGCTGTACCAGTGTGAAAGGTTCCGGGTGTGTTTCCTCCTTTCTGCAGAAGGGACGACTGATTTCCAGCCGCCCGTCAGACTGGAAGAACCCAAGAAAGCTGAGCTGGGACTGTGACTAACCTCCTGGCCCCCCTGCAGCACTTTCCTGCAGTCTCTAGCTGGTGGCCTGCAGGCAGGGCCCCTGCCCATCACAAAAGTAAGTTTCAAAAGGGAGAGTGAATAAAATGCTCCTCGGACCCCCCTTGAGTTTCACAACTAACCCTGCCCGCGGCTGGATGCAGAGGGGGATCGGTGCTACACAGACACTGTGGAAGTGACACTGTGGGTGTGTTTCTGCTCCCCACTGGCTC